ATATATATATATATTCCCTGTGTACTGAGCTTGAATGGAGTTTACAGAAGGTGACTAGCTCATGAACTGAGTGTCTTCTGAAAGGGTTGTTTGGGTCTTCAAGTAAAAGGTTGATTACTAACAAGACCCAATAGCCATGGGGGAAAAAGTTACCTTTCAGATAATCTGCACTTAGCTTTTTGCACTGAAGGAACTCTATGGTTTCTGGGACTTATAGAAATAATCCTTTCCCAAAAAGCAGCAGTAGTTGCAAAAACAAGAAGGTCTGGGTCTGGCAGAGGCCTTGGTAGTAGAGATTCCTTGCATGAGAAATGAAGAAAGAACACAAAGCCCTCCCTGAATGAGAAGGGGGGGATCTGCAATCCCCTGTGAGAGTCTGTAAGGCTTGGGGGTGGGGATTCTCCAGAGTGGAGTGGGTTAGATACTTGTTATGTTGATAAGAGATATATGTTAAGAGGCAACTAAAATGCTCATAGAAAGATGATTATGTTTTGGGAGTTCACCTGAGTGTTCTCACAATATTCTAACCTCCCCTCCCCCAAGTATCAAGCTAGATGTATTTTGGTAGTTTACCTCCAAGGAGACTACTTAAAAACATTTGTCTTTGCAAGTTATCAATGGATATTTTCTGCTATGATGGCCTCCAATGGGCAGTGTTAGAGGTCGTATATAACAATATACCAGCTCCTCAAAGATTTTGGCGATTCGACCTGGAACTGATTGAACATGTTATCTTAAGATGTAAATTTTACATAAAAATTAGGCAAGGTTATTAATCCCTTTACTTAACAAAAGGCCTGGCTGCCCAGATGAATATTTTATCTTTTATCTTCTGTCTGCTAAAAACCCAAACCTGACGTATCCAGTTGCAAAATTCTATTATCTTGCTACACATGTTTGTAGCAGTATAATATCTTTCAAGGATGTCTGCTGAAGCAGATAAGGACATACACTGACATTTTATTAGTTATTTGATGCTACATTTTATGACTAATTGCTTGTATTTGTATGTATTCTGGTTTGTGACCATAATAAAGTGTGTGTGTGTGTGTGTGTGTGTTTTGGTAGTTAGTGAGCTGGTTTGGACTTAGATGGGAACAAGAATGGAAAATTCTTGAAATTGAAATGAAAAAAAAAACTCCTCAAGAAACCATCACTAGACCCCACCCTTCTGGACAATTTTCATCCAGTCTCCCACCTCCCCTTTTTAGGAAAGGTGGTAGAGAAGGTGGTCGCGCGGCAGCTTCAGAGGATCCTGGAGGAAACGGATTATCTGGACCCCTATC